TGGCCTCCACATTCACACACACACACACACACACACACACACCTGTAGCTTAATCCCATCCTAAATCCTTTTCTGCCACGTAATGACACACACTGTTCTGAGAATGTGTATATTGGGGGTGGTATTATTCAGATGAACTTTCTTTCTTTCTTTTTTTTTTTTTTTTGGTCAGGGGTGGGGTGGGGGGTGGTTTGAGGCAGGATTTCCCTGTAGCCCTAGCGTTGATCTGCAAAAGGACTGGAAGAGGACAGAGTGATGAGCTGTGTACCAGAAGACGCTTGTACACCATGTATCCAGCAAATGACTAGCAATCCAAAGGTGTATGTACCATGATATGGGGTTAAAAAAAATCAACATCATTAGCTTTTAGGAATTTGAAAATTAAAACCACAGTGACAGCTATTAAAATGATTAAAATAAGCCGGGTGGTGGTGGTGCACGCCTTTAATCCCAGCACTCGGGAGGCTTTTATCAAGGGACCACAAGTTTAAGAACAGCCTGGACCTCAACGAGAACTGGTCAGAAAAATAAAAGTGGCACTACCAGATGCTAGCCAACATGGTGGGGGACTCACATCCCACTAGATAGAGCACAAGCCAGCAGCTTGGCAGTTGCTTCAAAAACAGCACATACTTCCATTGGCCCACAATCCTGTGCACTCCTGGGCATTTATTCCAGAGAAATAAAAGCAAGTTCACACAAAAGTGGGTAAACAAATGCTCATAGTAACTTTTATTCATAGGAACTTCGAGTTGTAAACAGCCCAGACATCCTTCAAGAAGTAAATAGTTAGACAAATCACATTCCATTTGTCCATGGAGTCACTACTCTGCAACCAGAAAGAACGAACTGTTCATACCTGTAGCCACCTGAAATGACTGGAAAACCATGCTAAATGCTGGGGGAGGATCCCAAAGTTTGCCAACTTCCCAATTCCCATTTAATGCATGAAATTCCTTTCTTAAAAAAAAAGCAGAAGAAGAAGAAGAAGAAGAAGAAGAAGAAGAAGAAGAAGAAGAAGAGGAAGAGGAAGAGGAAGAGGAAGAGGAAGAGGAAGAAGAGGAAGAAGAGGAAGAGGAAGAAGAAGAATAATTTCAGTCTTAGCGACGGGTACACCTCCAAGATCTGCCCAGTGGAGGACAGCAGACAGTGTAGACCTCTCCAGCCTTTCCCCAAGCCTCTGAATAAAGTATTTTGACCCCCCAAAAAACAAGAGAATTTATTTTATTTGGGGGTATTTTCTGTTAATCCTAGCACTCGGGAGGCAGAGTAGGCAGATCTCAGAATTTGAGGCCATCCTGGTCTACAGAGCCAGTTCCAGGACAGCCAGGGCCACACAGAGAAACCCTGCCACAAAAATACAAAAAACAATTGTTTTACTTTATTTGTATACATGTGGCATGTGCCCACAGAAGCCAAAAGACCACATAAGACCTCCTGAAACTGTAGTTATAGACAGTTGTGAGTTGCTCAAGGAGGGTGCTGAGACCCAAATTCCAGTCCTCTGCATGAGCAGCAAGTGCTCTTAAGTGCTGAGCCATCTCGTCAGCCCCTCCCTTTTAAAAATATTCCATTTATTTATTGTGTTTGTGTACACATACATATGCATGTGTATGTGTGTCCACACATGGTTGTCATGGTACACAGGTGAAGGCCAGATAATAACATGGGATGGTTGATTCACTTCTATCATGTGGGCTCTGGGCATCAAACTCAGGTTGTCAGCTTTAACAGCAAGCACCTTTACCCAAGGAACCACCTTGCCAGCCCCTAAGATGGGATAGTGTTAAAATGACAGAATTCTAGAAATAGAGAACAGGCTGTGGTTGCTGGTGCTTAAGGAAAGGGTAAGGCCTGGGGAGCAGGTGGAAATGGGTAAGGAGGGGGAAGGGAGGGCTGTTGTGCTAGGGAAAAAGCTTTGGATCTTGCTGCATTAGCTCAGTGTCTCTCTTACAACATTCTGCAAGATGTTCCTGAGAGAAGAAACTGGGTAAAGGCTAGTTATTTCTGACACTTGTGTGGGGATTTATAATTAACTCAAAATTAAAAGTTAAAGCTTTTCAAAGACACATGGGAGCTGAGCATATTGCTTACTGGGAGAGCATCTGCCTACTAGCACACATGAGGCCCTAGGTTCAATCTCTCCAGTACAGGTGTGGTGTGTGTGTGTGTGTGTGTGTGTGTGTGTGTGTGTGTGCGTGTGTTACAAAATGCAACCCCTAACATTGCATTGGATTTAACAGGAATAAATCTCATCAAAATGTTAAAATCCACCAGGTGTGGTGGTGGACACCTTTAATTCCAGCACTAGGGAGGCAGAGGCAGGAAGATCTCTGTGAGTTGGAGGCCAGCCTGGTCTACAAAGAGTACCAGGACTGCCAGGATTGTTACACAAAGAAACCCGGTCTCAGGAAAAAAAAAAGTTAAAACTCTGTTCTCCAAGACACCATTAAGAAAATGGGCACATAACTGTGATCTCAGCAACTCAGGCAGCCAAGGAGGCAGGAATTCAAAGGGAATAGCCCCACATAGTGAGACCCTGTCTGTAAAATTGTAATATCTGGGGTGGGAGAGCTGGAGGAGTGGCTCAGTGGTTAAGAGTTCATACTGTGGGACTGGAGAGATGGCTCAGCAGTTAAGAGCACTGGCTGCTCTTCCAGAGGACCTGGTTCAATTCCTAGCATCTACATGACAGCTCACAACTATAACTCCAGTTCCAGGGGATCTGATACCCTCACACATACATACATGCAGGCAAACACTAATTCATGTAAAATAAGGATAAATAAATCATTTTTAAAGATTTTATTTATTTATTATGTATACAATATTCTGCTTCCATGTATATCTGCACACCAGAAGAGAGCACCAGATCTCATAAGGGATGGTTGTGAGCCACCATGTGGTTGCTGGGAATTGAACTCAGGACCTCTGGAAGAGCAGCCAGTGCTCTTAACCTCTGAGCAATCTCTCCAGCCCAAATAAATCATTTTTAAAAAGAGTTCCTACTGTTGTGGCAGAGGACCTGAATTCAGTTCCCAGCACCCACACCCACAGATTCACAGCAGCCTGCCCATAACTCCAGCTCAGATACCCTCTTCTGGCCTCGTAGGGACATAATCCGAACTATATCATTGTTTTTTAATCTTACAAAGAACAGGGGTTGGGAGTGTGGCTCAGATGGAACAGTTTGCCTGGTATGCATGAAACCCTGAGAGTTTGTACCCAGAACTACATAAAACAGGTATATATGTCTATAATCTCAGCACTCAGGAGGTAGAAGCAGGAGAATCACAAGTTCAAAGTCACCCTGGGCTTACATACGGAGTTCCACAGCAGCCTAGATTACAGGAGATTATATCTCAAACTACATACGTAAATAGACTTACATAAGAAAGGAAAACGAAAGATCAATCCAAAGAGTGGGAGGAACCTATCCAGAGAGCTAGTGTGTGCATATATGCATATATATCTCATATACTTATATGGCTCTTACAATTCAATAATAGAATACAGTGAAAACCACAGTGAGATAGGACTTCAGAACTACCAGCGTGACTAAAATTAAAAAGACTGACAGAGCCAAGTGTAACCACCACACATTTCCATGTGGGGATGGAACATGGCACCAGGCTTTTGGAAAACTGCCTGGCAGTCACATCTAGAAACTTACCCAAGAGCAATGAAAGCCTATGCACACAGGAGAACTTGCACACAAACCTCTTTTCCTAACAACCTCCATCTGGAAACAACCCAAATGTTCATTCGCAGATAAAAGGCTAAAGTGGCACTGCCAGGCTGTGGATAAAAAGCAGTGAACTCTGGGTGCCATAAGGACTCGGACCTCAAAAACAACACACTGAGCCCAAGGAGATGCACACACAACCCCCACAGTGTGATCCCATCCACACCAAACTCAGGAGCAGGCAAAACTAATCTAAAATGGCAGGAAGCAGATCAGTGGTTGCCTGGGGCTGGGGGAGGAGGAGGAGGAGGGGACTGGCTTGCAAAGGAATAGTGGGGGTGGGGTAGGGTGATGGAAATCTCATGGGTCTTGATTGTGGTGATGGGTATAAATATTTCTCTACATTGTCCAAACTCAGGCTGGGGAGATGTAGCTCAGTTGGTAGAGCACTTAACTAGCACCTGATGTCCTGGGTTCTATCTGCAGCCCCACTAAAGAAATATATAAACAAACTGCACCTGATGGTGCCTTTAATGTTAGGCAAATTGTAACTCAATTAAAAACAAAACATGTTCTTTTAAACAGCATCTCATGTGGCCCAGGCTGGCCTGGACCTCCTGTTCCTCCTATCTCCACTTTTCCAATTCCAGGTGTGCACCACCACAGGCCAGCACAAGCTCTCTACCTTCTGAGCTACACACCTAGCCCCGTGAGAGTGTGTTTTAAAGACACCGATCCTGGTATTTTGTCTTTGTTTTCACACACACACACACACACACACACACACACACACACACACACGTATGTTTCAGTATTTGATTGTTTGAAACAGTCTCCTGCAGTCCAGGCTGGCCTCCAGAGTCTCCCAAGTTCTGGCCTGTATCACCTTGGCAGGGCAATGCCTAAGTGTTTAAATGCTTACTGTAAATTCCCATATAACTCTTCCTCCCAGGTGAATAAGGGCAGTTTGGAACCGGCTGCTGTCCAAGGAAGACCCCACTTTGCCAACACTATCGTGTTCTCCGGGTGGGAAGCTGGAGGAAGGACAAGGCTAGAGCTGGATAGACACCATGCAGGGGAGGCTGCAAAGAAGAGAGACTGAAGAGGGGTTGCAGGTACCGAGAGGCTGAAGTAAGCGAAAGAAGCAGGGGGTGGGGTGAGAGGGTGGCAGGTACTGTAGGGGAGAGAGGCTAGAGCGGAGGTTGCAGGAGGAGGTGTGGGCAGGCTGGAGGCATGAGGAGGGTTTCCTGCATGGGCAATGCAAAGAAAGGCATGGGTGTGTGTGTGTGCGGAGGCTCCCGCAGGGATTCCCAACTCATTGAGAGGGGAACACTGGCCTGCGCTGCAGGCGCAGCACTCCATAGGTATTGAGTCCAGGCACGTCGAAGCCTGGAGCCAGCCCGTGGCGGTCCAGCGGGTAGAAACGCACCAGCTGCCCGTGTTGCGCCTCCAGAGACAGCCAGGCATCGGCGAGCGGCAGCGTGCATGGGAACTTGCGTGCCACATGCAGCTGGAAGACTCGTCCGCGCACGTGACGCAGGGCGAGCGA